GCTCCAAAGTTGAAAATTTTTCCCAAATGGTCGTGACGCCAAATCGAGGGACAGACTTATTTTGTCATGGTAGTCAGTTTGCAATGACAATAAAATTATATTATGCTCCTTTTTTGTGAGTTTAATAACCATTGATGACATAAAAATATGGCTTTATATATTTCGGCATGAATAATTAGTCTAAAAACAGCGTGAAAGTTGGAAAATGTACCCTAGGGACACGTCATGGTCGTGAATTTCGAGACTTTAAAAATACGAAAAAAATACCTAGAACCTATTTAAAACCAAATAAATGTGTGTAACATGTTGCCCCCGTCCCAAAAAATATTAAAACACATAATAATAAACTACAAATCCAGTATCTACGAAGTAAAAGGCCAGGGACATGAAAACGTACGTTTTTAAATTTTCACTCTACTATTCTCCGGGAGGCCCTTGTTTCTATCCAATCACCATAACCTAGTTTGCTAGTTTAGTAGTTGAATTTGCTAACTTAAGTGAAAAAAGGCCGCATTCCAATGGTTAAGTGCCAACATTAAATTACCTACCTACAAAACACAAAATAATTGGTTGCTCAAGTGGCGAACTTTCTTTGTACAGTATACAGTATTAAGGAATCTCTATATAGGCCAAAGTTATTTTCTTTCAAGCACATATGTATTTATATGCAGACACGACGGTTGAAAACCCAACATACAAAGGAAAATGAACACTCTTCCTCATATTCTTGTCAATAAAAAAATCTACTAAGTTAAAGCATTAGTCCTAGTAAGTTAGTGTTGAGATGAAATTTTTTAAGTTACCAATCTAGCCTCTGCTAATACTTTTTTTATAAATCGGAGTCAAGCTACATAAGTAAACATTTCCTGGCACTTTTTGTATGAGTTAAACCTCTATATGAAGAGGAGCAATTCAACGTAAAGGACTTAAAACTAGTGATGTGTCGGTATCACTTTTTCCAAGTCGGTACCTACTGCTGCTAAATAGTTCCTGACCAAAATTGGTTCCCGGTTCTCGGTATCGGCAACTTAGGTAACTGATCACAGGAACTTGGTCATATTCTTTAAAAGCAAGCAATTGGTATATTCATACCAAACTTTTATATCTCAAAAATATGTTGGCGATCCATTTTTAAGAAAATTGAGAACCATAAAATGAAGAATTGTATTTTAAAGGACTGTACCTATTTTAGTTTTTTTTATCGTAAATGAAATCGACTTATTTCCATCCAGTTAGTGCATCCAAAAGGGAAAACCGGAAATGGTGTGTGAATTCTAGCTTCGTGAAAATCTAGTGACTGCGAAAAACTCCATCATCTACGATCTTCCCTTGCGATCACGGCAACATAGTTGGCATTTTCGATCGTGGTTTTATTACTTGATGCGACGCAACAGATTCCCAAGGTCACTTGCGTTTCCCTGTATTAAATCGCCTTCAGGTAACCAAGACTTTTCTTTGAGGTTTAATTCGTTTTGGAATATATGGGAAGATGGTAATTATTATTAAGATCTAGGAGCGAAATCGGAAACGTGGCGAGGATAGAAATATTGGCTAAAGTATTCTTAAAATAAAATATAAACAAATACGAGTATTCAGTAAAGTTGAGGCTTTTAAGGAAGGATGCATTTACTAGCGCCTTTTCCTGATGAGCCGGGTGTTGTTTTGATGTCCCGATGGCCCCGATGTTACCAGGTGTTTACCCTTGGGATATATGGAGGCTAACGTCAATGGATCTTTGCTTGTAGCTTACAGAAACAGGAACTTAGTTCGTAATTTCTTTGGAAGCCTTCTCTACAGCAGTGTATTATAGTCCCTCTTTCCTTGTATAGGAGTTGCATCCAAGACATCGTTGCGTTTGGATTCGAAAAATGCCATTCGTGTAAAAGTCTAATTCACTTAAATCGTAAGTCAACGACGTGATGGCATCAGAGAGAGGAATCCACAATAATTCGTAAACCAAACTTACCAGTCAATGTTATTCACTAATATTTCGTCTAAACAGAATGTTGACTCGCCAATTAAATTTTCAATTATTTTGTGAACGTTAACATAAAAAAAGTCGGAAATCAAAATAACTTGTCGGGGCAAAGAAGTTGGAATAATATGCACATGGAAACTTATTATTTATTATTATATTATTAATTATTTAATATTTATTATTATTGGTATTATTTATTAACTTAAATTACTATTTTAACCCTCCAAGCTCCATAACAGCCTTAACAACTCGTTCATTGGTTAAATAAGTACTTTTTAGTATTTATCGACATAGGTTTATTATTAGTTATAACTGGCTTCAGCCGTTTCATACGGTGTATACTTTTAATAGTTAAATGTTTTGCTAACAGTTCATAATCAGACAACTGGGTCCAACGAGTTGAATATTTGGATTGAAATTATCCACGTTAATACAGCTATTTAATATAAAAATATACCATTTTAATTTATGAATGTAATATTACTTTAACAACGCATACAACGAATGACTTGCGTTAAGGTAATTTTCTTTAAGAAAAAGTATCGATTAAGTAGAGAAATGAGTAGCGTTGCTACATGTCCAACGTATAAACAAATAATTTTACCACCCGCTCAAGATTACTGTATTAGTTACACATAATTTTGGATGTCCCAGCAGCTATTTGTGTAAGAGCGCAAAGTTCGTCCAAAGCCTAAAAAAGTATGTTTAATCTATGGCACGTGATTACCGTTAGATATACATTTTAGAGAGACAGTTTGTGATCGTTATACACACAAGATTTTCCTATACCATATTTAAGTTGTTATAACAACACGCAGACAACATTTTTAGTTGTATATAAAATGTTATTTATATAATGTTTGTGTTTTCACGTTATATTATTTGCTTACCTAATGTTATAAACATTCCATCAGTGAAATCAGCTGATTTTAGCGAGCGAGAATCAATAAAAAGGAAATTAGATCGTTTGCATTATGTTTACAAGTCTGGTAATGTGATCATTTCCATGCAGTGTTAGGAAAATATATTTTTACTTTATTCATGATAAATTGCTGGAAACCACACCTCTTATCCACAAAACCTGGCTAGACAGCAATGATATACATTTAACATTTGTAGAGATTAATTCATCACCAAATTTATTACCCTCGTCCCATGCACGGCTGGATTGATAACGGTGGTTCGTGCGGTAACATCCCCAACTGTTATCACAAAGTTGGTGCAGCGCTTATCACAGCTGACGTTGGCAGCGTGGAACGTCACTGTTATGACTTATCGTTGATGATACAGGGTGCTATTTGGTTATAACGTCCAGTTTGTAAATATAACATAACCAGCTTGCATACAAGATAGACGTTTACTTTAAACATATGTATTATCTTTTATGTACGATTAACAATTAATTATTATAGTATTAAAATCCCTACCGCACATTGTTTATGATGTAATCTTGTTGTATACTAAACTAGAAGATATTGTTTTACTAAAATTCAATGAAATATCTATTCAAACACTATTCGATGTATTTACACTTTCGCTACATAATTTTACGTTATAAATGTAGGTAATATGTTGGTAATATTTAAAGTTCGCTTTTTAAACAATCATTATGAAAAGGTTAACGTCAGTGGGCTTAACAACTCGTTTACGAGTACTATATAACAAATCTAGCTGTTTTGAGCCATATAAGTCTATTTAACTTTGAGTATTTATTTTTGAAAATATTCATTGCCGGCTCATTGAACGTCTTGATAATAATCCAGATTTAAAACTTTGACGCAACATCCATCTGATAATGTAAATTATTTTAGCATACGTGCTGATGTGTTTTATTGAAGTTTAAAATTGAACACTTAAAGACATTTCAATCCCCTCCCATTTCTTCAATCCTAATTCATTTTAAGCATGCGTTCTCCAGCGTGAAGAACTTTATCGATCATTTAATATATAAGTAAAAGACAAATTGCATATCAAACCTTGAGGTTATCGAGGTAAATCTTATTACTTTAGAGGCAATCGAGAATCGAAGGTCGGAAGGTAAAATTTCAAATATTTGCAAACGACTTAGAAAATACGAGGCGGACGACCGCGCAGTACTTGATTGGGGTTTGGAACGAGGCCAAAGTTGAAGGACAAAGGATAAAGTTGAAGTACCGGTAGGTCAAGGAGTGAGGACCGGTTCCTATAAAAAATGTCAGTTGTCTCGGTTTGTATGCGGAAATATCTTGTGTGATTACCTTCAGGAATTCAACGGAAGGACACAGTTTGTAATGGTGACTGCCTAAACAAATGTTTAAATGTTTTGAAGAAGAACTAAAAATATTCATACTTCCTAAAGTAGACCAGTAGTTTACATGTTTTAGGTTATATAGAACACCAACAATACACAACTCTAGGTGCTAGACAACACCAAACAACTCAGAATCGTCATTTTTGTTTACATACAGTTATGGCTACGTTAGAGCATAGCCACTCTACAAACGTAGTAGGAATATTATAACCTTAAGACGTTTCTAGCCGGACTTAGAGGTAGAACACATTTTCCACAAATATTGAAAATTATGCACATTTTGCGTGTTATAACAAGGATATTTATGAGGGACGAATAAAACAAATATATCAAATAAAATTAAAATTTTTCAGGAAAACTGTAAATTGGACCAATTTGATATTTTTTTACTTGAGAAAATATTTTAATCAAAATGTGTCCAGGAAAAATACCCTATAAAAAAATGAGTAACGAAACAACCACAAAAAAGGACCAGTATTCGTTGTTTTGAGGTTGAAAACAAATAATGCATAAAATCATGTTTGAAGGGACAAAGTCAAAGTTTCAATCCCATTCCCAAGTTTCTATATCAACACGATCAACCACGTGACGTCAACCCTTATAGATTTCCCTACAGCGTATCTAGTTTGACCCCTGGACAAAAACAACATTAGAGAAACGATAAGCGTGGTGGGGGGACCAACCGGTTCCGTCCAGTAAATGAAACTGTTTTGCAGAAACCGCACGGGCTTAATGACAATTAATAAGTTTGTCACGGCCTCTTTGATCGCTATTATAGTACAATTGTGTAGTCAAGTGGCAGTGAGTGTAGTGTGGGGGGAGTGTTGTAGTCCAGTAGTAGCCCAGTAGATCGTCAGTGTGGTAACCGCGCGGTCCTAGGTACAAGGATAACCTCAACAGTCATCAGTGCTACTGCTACTGGATAACCGCAACTCCTGGTGAGTGAAAGTATGCAAAGTATTGTCAACTTAGGGAAAGTTGAGGAGCGGCCAAGTTGGGCATTTTAATTTGCTTCGATTTTGCCTCAGTTAGACATATTTTGGGTCGTATTTATGTTTTTAGATTGTAATAAGGTTATTGTAAGTTTTGCTGTGGGGTTGTAAAATAATGAAAGACAGGAAATAGTTGGGAATAACTCAAAAACCTGAAAATATTTCGAGCAATCTTTAATAAGAACGAGTCGCCCTATCAGCATTTGCTTATTTTCGTATGATTCAAAAGGGGAATAAAATCGCAGTAATTTTAAGTTGCTATTTTTATTTTTTTGTAATTTCATTTCATCAATTTTACGCATAAACTATTTGGCAAATAAATGTGTATCAGGATTGTTCAAAAGACGTTCTTGATTATTTATTTGCATATTTTACAAGCAGCATACAAGTTTATGTATTATCAATAACAGTTAACACAGAATGATTCGTATAACTACCGTTTATATATTTTTTTATAAGTTTGGTCATATATTTTCCCCTAGGATTCAGGCAAGACTTAGGAATAGGATGTAACACAGAAAAAACACACACTTAAACGGGTTTGCTCTAAATTAATTTTTTCGAGTGTAATACTAGAAAATTTGATTTTTGGTTACTCGTAGTACTGTACCTTGAATTCAAGTACAGTACTTATCATGCTCTATGTTTTGGCGACATGGGGGGTTTGCCATCTATTGCTTTAGCTGATGGTCTAAGTAGGTTACACTACAACAATTCCTAATATCGTTTAAAGTTCCATATTTTTGAATCATTTCAGGACACGTCCCCTAATATGATCCAACCTTATGGACATAAGATCAAATGCAACTAGTCCATCTTGTTTGATCATGGATTGAGTGCACACATAGACCTATTACCAGCGTGTTTGCTTGTTTGAGTGACGCTTGCTTTGGATTCTGCTTACGATTGAGTGTTGTTTGAATGTTAAAAACCACTGTTCTCTTTGTAATTAAATAAACTGCTAGGTTACCTGTTCTATAAATCATTTTATTTTGTTATGACTTTGGCGACCGGTTTCGTGATGACGGTCACATTATCAGGTCAATCCTCGAAGAAAGATACTTAAATACACTTAAAGGTAATATCGAACACAAAACTCATTACATTTACGAAGTATGTATTGACAGAAACCACCACGATGCGTGCACATGCTTACGTTGTATTTGTCATTATTAATGTTAAATAGACACGACACTAATTAGCCTACAGATAATAAACGGAAAGTAAATAAAAGTAACGTCTTATAACACCTAAAACATATATTTACGCTTATACTGTTACTCACAAGACGGTAAATATGCAAAAAAGATGGTAAGTGGTGATCGATTTCGATTGGACACTCCAATCATCATCAGACCCAATAGGCGAATGATAATTATTTTCGAACATTCGCCTATTGGGTTTGATGATGATTGGAGTGTTCAATCGAAATCGATCACCACTTACTATCTTTTTTGCATATTTACCGTCTTGTGAGCAACAGTATAAGCGTAAATATATGTTTTAAGTGTTATAATACGTTTCTTTTATTTACTTTCCGTAAATTTAATAACTTGTACAATGCTGATCAAGACGTTATTTAGATAATAAAGAATAATTCGCTTTACAAATCATTAACACAACATACGTACTTTCAGATATTAAAATCCCGTGAATGATAACTAACAATTTGCTATTGAGACGGACAAGCAAGCTTCTCTTCAATAATTATTTTCGAAAGTAAATTCAATTCAATTTAAACTGAGTCCACACTTGTTAAAATATTTTGTTAAGGTATTTGAGGTTGCAAAACTGTTAAAATTTTACTCCATTAGTACGTAAAAAATAAGAAAATACTGGTATTCAATAAATAACCTCTCTACGATGAAATTGAAACCTCGATAAGCAGATTATCCAAATCATAGAAATTGGTCACTAAGTACACACACTAATCATTCTTATGTTTGTATTCTATTGTTTGACTCCGGTAGTTTCCTACAGCAAACATTGGATGTTATAAACATATTAGTGTCAATTCGTACGATATATTTACCAAACATGAACATATAGCTTATGATGATTTTATGTATTTTCCCAGTGGCAATAAGAACTAGAATATTAAATTTTTGTACTACCTGCAAGAACAAAGGCTTAAGGTAACTAGTTCAAATATTAAATATAGCTTATGTAATAGTAAGTGTGGTAATTTACGCATAACCTTTAAACTCCATAACTGCCAGGACTACAATAAATTGTTTATTTGATGTTATATGGTCTATGAGATGTTAATTCCGTGACGTGCATTTCGTCAAATATTTAATTATTTAAATAAATGTTTGCCGTTGGCATATTTGACGAATTACGATTGGTCATATTGTATTTAGGTGGTAAATTAACCAAATGATAAAAACTTAAACTATTATTCATAATTATTAGTTTTAAAGATAGGGATAGTAGAGTAACATTTCCAGGAATTCTATTTTTATCATTGGTCACAGTTAAAACACTACGCTGAGATTTTCCCACAAAGGCAGAAAAGGTTAAACATTTAATTTATAATATCAGAAGCTAAGAATTTTGAATAAAATCCACAATTACACACTCCAGAAAATGTATGCAGTAGAACTTTTGTAGTTTACACTAGTTATTTGTAAAAGGGACTTCTTTTAGTTCAAGAAGATAAATGGTGTTATCTACGTTGACAAACCATAGAATAATTCTGAAATTATTTTCTCAAAACAAGTTTGTAGATAAGAAAAAAACTAATACTGTAGTTTAAAATCTCGACCTAAACGTGAAGATGACCTTCGCAGAGTCAAGTATTTGGGCTCAATGCCCTCACAACGGTGTTACCTTTGACTATACTTTCACTCAGGCGTAACCTCATTTATCTGAAATGACTTATAAAGCAGCCATACTGAACCAATACAATGTCAATGAGACTTTTCATCCGTCCAAGTAGTAATTTACTGTGTGTATATTTTACGTGTTGAAATCTGTATAATTTGAATGAAACAACCAATGCTCGTAAATATTTGTTGAATCGGTAAAGGGCTTATTGAAATATATTTCACTTGAGGCCAATAATTTTTGTGGCAATAAACCCTGGTGATGCAGCTGTTGGAGACCAGTACAATATTTTTCGACGTACATTGCTTACAGATACTAAAAGCAAGAAAGGCACACGTAATGAATCTTTAGTTATAGAGTATTAAAGATTTTTGTTTTATCAACTAAATAACGAAGAAAATACCAACCCTGTACACATTTTTCGTTTGGATTTGTGTTGTTCAAACGAATCAGGTAACTGGCAGGCCTAAACACCTTGTAAAAAGTATGTTATTACTCACTTTATTTAAAAATGGTTGTTGAAACGTCTATGACATTCCAGGTAAATTTGTTTACTAAGTAGAAAAAATTGAAAACTCTTCGTTATCCACTTGATTTGAAATGCAAGGGCCGGTTTTGCAATAAAACACTGACCATGACAATGAGGAAAGTGAACAGTCAATCATTCATGTAGTATCATTAGTTGGTTCAAAGAAGCGTTTAATTACAACGTAATCTTACTAATGTACAGGTGTCCAAAGATTATCTCAAGTTAAAAAACATGAAAATTGCTATAGCTATTGTAGTTAGTTCTGTAATACATTTCACACTAACAAATGCAAATTATTTCTTTTTGAACTGAATATTTTGTTGAAGTGATTTCCGTCTGTAATAAGTAATGTTAGTTTTAAAACCGAAAGTTTGATAGGCTATTCCATGTGAATACAGTAATACAACTTGTACAAACATTAATATGATAGAATATTATAAGTTAAACAATGTTCCGTTATTAAGTAAGTTATTTAGATATTTGCCGAATTTTATGAAACATAAAAAAAAACAACAACATGTAAGCCAACATCTTTTTTGGAAAAAGTGTACATACTATTCCAATCCAATCATGGGAAGGAGAGCTCACACGAAAAAATTCAGTTTTAATTTGAACACAAATAAGAAATTGCCAAAAGTCTTTGCTCTCTGTTAAAATGACTTCGAAAGATAAATAATTAAATACTCACATTAGGTATTTCACAACTATTGGAAACCATAACTAAAAGTGAAAAAGACATAGTTATATTAGTTTTAGGTAGAATTAAGTCGTTGCTTTAGAGTGCTTGTTTATGGATATTGGTTTTAAAATCCACCATATCATTTTCACGTTTACCAAAACTATTCCTTTTCGAGTTGCAGTTTCTGTATATTTCAGTAAGGATTGATGCAATTTCGTCTTATACCTGTTAAATCTAAGTGAACAGCTTACACTTATTTTGAATTATTTACCGGTACTTGCTTGGATAAAAATGCAATTGATTACCTCAAGAGTAGAATAATGTGTAGGTTTTCTATTAATTTAGGTTGTGAGGGTGGTGGGGTTACACTTCCCACAACTAGCCTTTTTCCTTTATACCAATGTTTAGATAAAGCTTATTCCTTGGCCCAAAGTAAGTCTGCACCATCAATACCTATGTGCTGTAAAAATATATACAAGAAATAAAATACAGTATTAGTTCATCGAACTAAAAGCCTTGAATAGGGAAAGGTTGATAAATTTAATATGTACTACAAGCTTGCCAATGCTGTGGATGACTTGTAATCTCTAAGATTACCACTGTGAGTTTGCTTTCACCCGTGAGCGATGTTCTATTTTTAAACACTAACCTGAGTATCTGATTATTCGAATTTGAAGTCCTTTCAACACTTAAAAGGCTAAGGAAGTAAGTCTCGTCAATCGTAGATTCAAAACGGTTGCATGACTTGTACAGTGTTTAGAACTCTATAATTATTATACTATATCAGTTGACCTCGTGTTGATCAAAAACCTAGTTAAGTTGATAATGCTTTGACCAACTTATTTGGAGCCCACCTTAAGCTTTGGTTCAACTACCAAAGAAATTAATCTGTCTCTCGTAAGAGAGGAG